ACCTCAAAACAGGGCCTGGATTCAGTACAGGGCTCCTTTCCATTGGCCAGACTTCTTTCCCTTCAGTGGCCTGGACGCTCATTCATCTTGATTCATCTGATGCCTGCACCTAGGTGATCCTAATATATGCATATCTGGAAATAATTTGAGGCAAATAAGATATTTGGAAATATGTTAATTTTTGGATATTATGTGAATGAAATGGCTACGTGCTTAGGAGAGATTTTATTTTGCATCTAGATATTTTTACCATTGACACATAGGTATGGGTCAAAATGCGAATATTGATTTAATTCTAAACAATCTTTTTTCTATGGTCAGTTTCTCCAAAACGCTATATAGACTCTAAAATCAGACCATGTGGGTTCAAACGTGGATCGGTTACTTCAGTGAGTAATAAACCAAGTTACTAGGACAAGTAACCAAGTGAGTAAAGCAAGGACAGATATATTACTTGTCAAATGATGAATAGTAAATAACCCCAAAACTTAGTGGCTTGAAACAATAAACTTTTATTATCTCACACCTTGTCTGTGGCTCTAGAATTCAGGAACCGCTTAGCTGGGTGCTTCTGGTCCAGTGTCTCTCATGAGGGTGCAGTCAAGGTATTTGCCAAGGGCTTCAGTTTTCTGAAGATTTGCCTAAAGCTGGAGGAATCTCTCATTCATACAGCTGGTAAATTTGTGCTAGTCTCACCTTTTTTTCTTTTCTTTCTTTTTTTTTTTAACGTTTACTTATTCTCGAGAAAGAGACAGAGACAGAGTGTGAGTGGGGGAGGGTCCGAGAGAGGGGGAGACATAGAATCTGAAGCAGACTCCAGGCTCTGAGCTGTCAGCACGGAGCCTGATGCAGGGCTCGAACTCACAAACTGTGAGGTCATGACCTGAGCCGAAGTCAGATGCTTAACCGACTGAGCCACCCAGGTGCCCCTGGCAAATTTTTGCTAGTCGTTTTCAGGAGGCCTACGTTCCTCGCCATGCTGGCCTGCCCACAGACACTTGGGTGTCCTCCTGACATGGCACCTGGTCTCCTGAGAATGGGTGATCCACCAGACCACAAGGAGAAAGCCATATGCCTTTTGTGAACTAGTCTCCGACATCACACATCATCCCTTTCACCACATTCTGTTCGTAGAAAGCAAATTGTTAAAGCCAACCCTCATTCAAGGAAAGGGAAACGAGCCTTCTTCACCTTGTGAAGGGAAGAGCAGCAAAGAATTTGTGGACGTATTTAAAACCAACACAGTATGTTAATAACCTCCTAAGTGCCTCAGTTTTCTTATCTGTAAAATGGGGATCAGTAGTACTATGTCCTAGGATTTCTTCGGAGATGTCAACGATATGGTATGTGCAAAGTGCTTAGAATAATGCCTAACCCATTTGCAAGTGCCATGTAACTGTTAGTTTTGTTTTCTTTTTTTTTTTTTTTTTCCTGATACCTCTAAAAGCAATCAGAATTAGAAATATTGTCTGGATAATTCATAAGAAGCTGGTCTGGTAGAGTCCTTGGAACTGGTTGGAACTTTTTTATTCTTATGTTTCCAAGGGCAATTGGCGGTTCCTTTAAAGTATCTTAAGTTCATAGCCGGTTCAGACCTAAGGCATCCTGAGTCTGATGAATGAGTCTGAATGGATCCATCATTCATGTGACAAACCTCTTAGTTCCCTGACTCCTCGTGTCTTATATCCAAACCATAACAAATCCTCCCGGCTCCACCTTCAAATATAAAAATATATTTGGTCTGCAACCCATTCGTTCAGCCCCAGGTTACCACCGGGTCCAGCTGACCACAATCTCTCATCAAAGCTTCCTTTCTCGACCCCACATTCTATTCTACATTGAGCATCCACACGGATCTTTTTACTTATTTTTATTTTTTTAATGTTTACTTATTTTTGAGAGGGAGAGCACAAGCAGGGAGGGGCCGAGAGAAAGAGGGAAACAGAATCCCAAGCAAGCTCACACTGTCAGCACAGAGCTTGATGTGGGGCTCAAACTCACGAACTGTGAGATCACGACCTGAGCCCAAATCAAGAATCAGACGCTTAATTGAGCCACCCAGGCTCCCCTGACAGTGATCTTCTTCAACCATAAATAAGACCATGCCATTTCCCTGTTTAAAAACGGACAATGTACTTCCTCAGAAATTATTCAGATGACTCCTTCTACAACATCATCTCTTAGACATTTGGCCTGGGTCTTGATAGACTTCTTTGTGTAAGGTCAGCACACTAGGCTTATTTTCTTACGCCAAGACCTTTGCACTTGCTCCTTCCTCTGCCCTGAATGCACTTTGCATGGCTTACTTTCTTGCTGTAGTCAGATCCCTTACTCATATGTTGCCTCTTCAGAAAGATGTTGTTTGAGAAGCTTATCAAGAAATTACTCCAAATCCCACTATACCCTCTTCATATAATGGCAATAACCATATGACACCATATTAAATATTTGTGTGCGTTTTTTTATATGCCTCCTTCACTAGCCTGTAATCTCTAGGAGAGCAGGGAGTTTGCCTTATTCACTGATATGCACCCTGTACTCAGAATGGTGCCTGGCATATAGTGAATGCTCAATAAATGCTTATTGAATGAATGAATGAATGAATGAACAAACAAGCAGAATTCTGACCCAATTGACTAATCCAGAAGTCACAAGTAGTCTGATCTACAGATATATTTTTTTGATACAATGTTATTTGACAGTGTTTTTTAAAAATATGAGTTAGGGGTGCCTGGGTGGCTCCGTTGGTTAAGCGGCCGACTTCGGCTCAGGTCATGATCTCACGGTTCGTGAGTTCAAGCCCCGCGTCAGGCTCTGTGCTGACGGCTCAGAGCCTGGAGCCTGTTTCAGATTCTGTGTCTCCCTCTCTCTCTCACCCTCCCCTGTTCATGCTCTGTCTCTCTCTGTCTCAAAAATAAATAAACGTTAAAAAACAAATTTTAAAATGAGTTACAAACTTTTATAATTTTGAGGTTTTATATAAAAATTCGATGTTTTTAGTTAAAATCAAGAGTTGTGTTTTGTTGTTGGTTTTTAATGTGGGATTCCTTGGCAAAAATCATATCATGGTCTTTAAGCAGCTTCCCCTTTTAGATGGGATTTACCCCACACCCTACCACTCTTTATTATCTTCCTGACACCGATGACTTCTTTATACCCGGCTTCTCTACCCCTCTGTGTTACCTGCCTGGCCCTGTAGATCTTCAGGACCCTAGATGAAGCATGTCTGTGGTAAGCTTGCAACATCTGTCCTACATGTCAGAGTAACTTTTTGTATCTAACTTGGAAACGAAATTGGTCTCATGTTGGAGCTCGAAGTCATATTCATACGAGACACACATTTCAGCCTTTGGTGCCATTTTGGAACAATCACACATCTTGACAGACTCCACAAAGAAACTTCACTAAAGTGAAAGGACAGAAAGACTCAATTGTGTTTCAAAATAGTTTTCACTTTTCGGGGCACCTGGGTGGCGCAGTCGGTTAAGCGTCCGACTTCAGCCAGGTCACGATCTTGCGGTCCGTGAGTTCGAGCCCCGCGTCAGGCTCTGGGCTGATGGCTCAGAGCCTGGAGCCTGTTTCAGATTCTGTGTCTCCCTCTCTCTCTGCCCCTCCCCCGTTCATGCTCTGTCTCTCTCTGTCCCAAAAATAAATAAATGTTGAAAAAAAAATTAAAAAAAAAAAAAAAACCA